CCTTCCCGAGTAACTCGGTAGTAAAAACCTCTGCTCCAGGCACAAGTCAAAAAAAAAAACCCCTCCGCAACCAAACAACTGGATGTCTAGAAAATGTGGTAGAAAAAGCTCAAAACAGAGTAACTCCCCTCAGGTCAGTATTTTCAGGACGTAAGGGAAGACCAAGCAGCCTAGCCGAAAAGAAAGGGGAAGCTTTAAGCTTCAATTTTTATGAAGTCTACAGACGGGCACAGAGCTTGCAGGAAAAAAAGTTGACAGTGCCCTGATTTGAAAATTGCTCATTACAGCGATCGGTGCGAGCATACGCGAGGAGCGAAACCCGAGGATCCGGCAGCAGCCGCGAGCTCACTCGCGCTCCAAGGAAGCCATCTGCAAACAACTCATCTGAAACATACTGCCCAGCGTTTTTTGTACGTGAACAATTTAGAAAACATTTGTTAGGGAAGAAATGAGTAAATTCCTGCTTCATTTATAAAGGAAGACGACAAAGTTAATGATATGGTTATTCCTTCCAGTTATTCTTCCATCTGTTTTGGCAAGCACAAAGGAACAAAGAGGTTGCCATGCAATGAGGCACAACGTTGTTTTATTATTTCTCACCGATCTGAAGGATCATTACTTGATCCTATTTGAAGCAAAAAGGGGCTCTCCCTTCCTGGATCACTCTTACCATAGCCGGCTCCAGCCATAACTGCCTACCAGGTGATCTGGCAGCTGCTGTATTGAAGGACTATGTTTTTAGTTCAGATTTCATTAATTTCTGGGACTAGCTCATCCTTTGGTGTATTCATATGTCTTAAAAGAGATTTCAGACCTGCAAGACTATGATGTCTATAGCAAGTCATGCATCAAAGAAAAGATGTAGAAATCCAGAGCTTCTTAAGGACAAAAAAGTCTCTAATTGGGCCGACTCAGGAGTACTTTGAGCTGTTTGTGCCTCATCTGCTTCACCTGTCCCGCACGCTGGTGGGAGAGGGGAGAGCAAGCGAAGGGATGCCTGTGGGCTCTCCTTTACCACTAGCACACATCCATAGCAAGAGTCCCTAGCAGTTAGTCAAAAATATCTAAAGCAATAATATGGAAGCATATGAAGTGCTGGTACCAACGATGCATTCTTGTTGGACAATCTTCCCCGTGGTTTCTTCGCAAAAATCTAAAACCTGGTTGTGGCGTGGCATAAGTGATAGTAGAGGAGTTACTATCAGTGTTGCTGCAACACAGATAATGTGGTGTTATTGTTGGCAAATTTCCCAGCACCTCTGAAAATATGCAGCAGCGCTGCCTAACATTTACGTTAAATTAAAAGTAAAACAAACCAAAAAAAGTCAACCAAAAATTCTACTGAAAAACCTCTGAAGGAAACAGACACCTGTTTGGGGGTTTTTTTCCCTCTTTTTTTTTTAAAGGATATGGCCCAAAATTAAAAAAAAAAAAAAAAAAAAGCAGTTTATGCTTTATTATTTTGTGATCAATACAGCATTTTCACACACAGTGTTGCCTCCCAGATGACGCCAAGTTGCTGTTTGATACCGGGGCAGGACAGGCTCCAAGCGGAGGAGTAGGTCCCTGCTGCTTTCACCTCCTTTGGGCATTGGTGTTGGACAAAGCTCCCTTCACCCGTCTGGGCATTTCCACCCACCACACGGGTGCCTGCTGGGGCGGCGGCGAAGCATGGGGCTCTTGTGTATGGGGTTCCCAAAATGCAGCTGGGGCCCCGGGACCCCACGGTTGGAGCCATCCAGGAGGAAAATCAATGCATGGAGCTGTGGGCTACAGGGAGAATCCCCAGCCCTGCAGGCTGTAACCCCGGGGCTCAGATTCACCCGCGCTGCAGGGGTAATATCCCAGCTCTGGTATCTGCTAGTGCCCTGAGGGACACAGCCCTCCTCTCATGACTTACTCAAAAACTGTACTGTACTATATTCCAATTAACCTTTATTTCTATATAACACCTGAAAAACCACAGCAGAGAGGCCCCATAGAAATAAGCATATTTGCAACAAGTTGGAAGACTAAATGTTCATCATGTAAAGACCTGGCTGTTTAATGGTCTCTCTCATACATCTTTAATTTTTGATATTTTTTTTTTAATTTAGAAGGGGCAGATACAGTTATTGGAATCACTGCTACCTTAAGTCCGATACACATAATCTAATAATCTAATCTCATGGTGCGTGATCCAGCCACGAAGAAGTAAAATGTCCTTTCGCTTCAATACTGCCTGTATACAGTTTTGTTTTCATATCTATATAAAGACAATATTTAAAAGTCCATTTTGCTTGCCTAGTTGACAAGGTCATTTTATATGCTCACTTAAGTCAGTATGCCATTTCACAGGCAATCCAAAGCTGTTATTATATACAATACTATACAAAAACTTAATTTACTTTTTATATCTTTGCTGTTGCATCTTTTTAATACCATCTTGCTTGTTTTCTCTTTGCAGTGTGAAGCATCAAGCACCGTTCCTCTGCTGAAATACAGACGCTTCTAGTTATAACCAACACTTGGGTAAAAACACGTTTTGTTTAGAAATGCATGTCGAGCTAGACAGACAAAACTGCTATGACATCAATACGGTATCATCATATCATATCGGGATAATATTGTCTACACTTTGTGGATGACACAAGTACAGCACTAATGACGCCTAGTTACAGCAAAATGCTCTCGGAACGATCGTGCCACCACTCTGCCTGGCTCTGTCTCTGCTTGACCGCCGCACCCCCAGGTTGTCGCCTCTGCACGCCTGAAGGCCAGGCACACAGAAAGGTCAATTTAATTCAGAAGTGAATTGCAAAGATAGTAAAGCAACCGCCTCGCAGTTACCTCCGTGAGCAACTGCACATACCATGTGCGACATCTTCCCTTCCAGCGCATCTCTGATGCCCAGCTTTGCATCCTCTGTGCTGAGCTAAAGCCGATCGCAGGACTTGGTCCAGCTCTGCCTTCATAGGGAATTTCACGCCGCCTCTGCTGGCTGTAGCATCTTGCAAGTGCCTGGGCACCCACACCTGCTGTGAGATGCTGATTTATTGGCTCCAAATAGGAAGGCAACACTCTAATCCTCCTCACTTTGGTGTGACTAAAAAGGCATCAGCCTTTCCGTGGTGTTTTTCCATCAGGCTTCCTCTGTTAGATGCTTTTTTCCAAGGGGGTTGTGCCAAAGGGCCTCTGGCTGCAGCTCTGCTGGGCTTACGCCTGATTTCTTGTGAGAAAGTGCCATCCCGTGGCTAAGTGTGAAATCCTTGCTACTTCGTGTCTGAAAACTAACGTCGGGCAAAGCCACCTCAGGTAGCTATAATCCCCGTACCACAGCACAGACGCGCTGCAATAAGGCCAATTGCCAACCTCCCGCCCTTGCTCGTCCCCAGCCTGCATGGCCTTTCGGCAGCAAACCTGAATTTCAGCAGTCCAGCTCCCGCATCTTCATTTGTTTCTGGCTTCCTCATAGTTTTACGTGAAAACTTAGTTTTTATTACGTGTCCACTGTTGTTCTTTGGGGGACAACTGTTGTTATTTTTCACTGTTAGCAAGGTCTGACTTAATCCCAGGGTTTGGAAGTTGAAGATGACATTAAAATAAACAAACTAAAGTTAATCACCACCCTACTGTATGGAGAGTCTCACAGACTTCATCTCAAACCAGGACTGTTGCTGAAAGGACCTTGGGCAAGAGTGTCCTGCCTCAAGCCTCTAATACAAAAGAGTAACAGAGGGATTTTAATGCTGGCCCAGATACTCAAAGTTGGACAAGTAGAGAGGATTTTGCCATTTTAAGTCCTGAGCATCAGTGGAAATCAAGCATGTTTAGACATTTTATTCACAAAAACAGAGAAATAGAAACCACTACCTTTATTTTTTATTTAATCCAAATTAAATTTTAAGCTGCTTCCCAGCAGGGCAGCCCCAGCATGTCCTGGTGCCCGGGGCCCTTCCCCTCGCTGGACTGCACCAGGGCTCTCAGCCCGTCTCTCCAGCCTGTCCTGGTCCCTCTGGCTGGCAGCACGGCTCTGGTGCGCCAGCCCCTGCTCCCAGTTTGGGGTCATCGGCCAACCTGCTGAGGGTGCACCCTGCCCCACTGTTCACGTAATTTAATTAGTGATGTTAAACCCAGTATTGACCCGTGGGCTACACCAGCGGTTACTGGCCTCCAACTAGATCACCACCCTCTGGGCTTAGTGCTCAGCCAGTTTTCAGTCCACGCTACTATTATAAACTCTAATCAATCCACATAAATGCTAGTAAGATTTTCTTTTAATTATTAGTCACACACACCTATGTTGAGCTATATTAGGGTCAAAAACAGTGCTGTGTCTGTAGTAACAGCAGGTCTAGCAAGGTAAATCCAGGAGAGGACTGGGTCCATTCACTCCCTTGAGAAATAGCTGAATATATCAGTACTATCTCTTAGCATATCTTACAGGGGAGATGTCTTTTATGCTTAGAAACCACAGGGATCTTGACATGGCAGACTCCTCAGGTACTGGTTGGCTGTTGGACTAAGGGATTACCTCAGATAAATGTGTTAAGCCCAAATTCGGGAGCAGCTGTTTTCCCCTCCTCTGTAAAAGAGTCTATAGGTAGGCCTTTAAGTTTCCTTAGCCAGGCCTTCTTGCGTGCTCTTTGCTGATCTTCTGTAAGCTTTGTCTGGTGTGCCCGATACTGAGCTACAGCAGCTGCCTCGTATACCTCCTTCTGTTTTCCCGTCAGAAGCCTGAACCCACCGTCACTTTGGGAAGAGTCTGCAGCGTACAGACAAAAGGGCTTTTTTCTCCTGGAAACCGCTTCGTTCTTCATTTGTGCAATCACCACACGTGTTGATTTGATCAGTTCAGAAGAAGCTGTGAAGGGATCAATATGCTGAACC